GTTGATCTATTCAAATATTTCTTTTAAGTGATTAACGGTCAAACAAATAAGATCGAAGAAAAAGTGTGGTCGAACATTGTTGAACTGTTCATAAGTAGATTTTTTTTTTATTTTTTTATGATAAGTATTCACCGAACCCTCAAAACACAGCACAGCTTTGCTCATAAATGTGGAATAGTACGGAATGCTTGTACTTAATCCCATAGGTACGTGGCCATTAGTTAATGCTATTTTGTTTTGATTTTTCATAATTAATTACAGATGACGTCTACTTATTAATGATAATTATATGAACATATATAAATTATATATCGTGAGTATGGTCAGATTATTGGATACTTTAACTATTTTTCCTGAAATTTTTTCTTTACTGTTTTAGATTTTTAGTACATCACTCCATCTAAAGATATTGCAGCAGAAGTTTCTTTTTTTTTCTATAAATTAGGTTATCCATCTAAATTTGTAGGTCCGATCCTACTTGAGTCGAGTTTTGTATGATTTCTTTTTATTTTGGTAAGAGTCAAGAAAAATATTATATTTAATAAAATAATTAATTTTCATGAAATTTTAAATTAAAAATGTTGAAAGTGAATATAATTAAAATGAATAAATTAGATTGAACTCAGGTATAAATTTTAAAAAAATCAACGGAACTCAATCCACTCGTTGTGACATTATTTGAAACAATGCATATTAATGTTTTTTTATATGTTTATTTATATTGATTTTTTTTATGTATTATGAAACAAAATCTTAATGTTTGGAGCATAATTATAAGAAAACAATATCAACACATGAGCCGCTAATTTAAGATTGCGAACGTTCATATATAACTTGTAACCAGTGGACTTCGTTTTGTGAGACTTAGATCATGTTAAGCAAATTTTTATTTTTTTTTAATTTTTATTTTTGGCAAGTCGGAGCAGTCACCTACCAAGAAATGCCCGTATATATGTCACATGCAAAATCACGTGGGTTTGAAAATTTGCTAGGAGCCAAAATTAACACTAAATTTGAAAACCTAGGACATTCAAATCTTGTTAAGCTAATCTAAACGGAAATGGGCCCACAGTAAAAACAGTTTAATTTTGAATTTTACTGTTTAACAGAGATAATGCACCAAGAAATTGTTTCTTACAATGATTCCTTGCCTCTACTGTCGACCCAATTACACGTAAAACAGAGCTGTTTTTCAATTGTTTTTTTATGTTTTCTTGTTGGAAAAGATGCTTTGGGGAAGAATCTAAGAACAGAAAAATTAGGCTTACTTGCACAATAAGGGAACAAAGAACATTGGGTTACACACGTTGTCGTTTTTCCACCACGTTGTCAACTCAAAGCTTTTTCAATGTAGACTCGTAGGTTTGGTCATTGTTAGGACTTTGAGGATAAGATCAAGAAATGTTTAAACTTCAAAGGTCTTCGCAACTCTTGTTCGGGACGTTTCGATGAGAGTTGTCGGATTTACGTAGGACGCCTACCCGCCTGTTTCTTCTCAAGGATTGATTTTGGCTATTTGGTTATTCTATGCTTTTATAAAGCCTCTTCCACTAAATTTTGTATCTGTATATCTATATATACACTCTAATAATTAAAGGATTATTAATTATAGAAAATTGCATATGTTTATAAAGAAGCAGGGCTTTGTGTAATTATGAGAGGCTGTGGTCTTTTTAAAATTTTTAAAAGCTTGCATATGTTCTATATTTTTTTTTCTTAACACTTCATAACAAATTTTTAATTTTTATTTTTCTTTGCCTTTGACTTTTAATAAAAGCTAGTTAATTTCGTCTTTGTGTTCATACTTAAGCATCTTAAGTTAGATTGTTATCCTTTTCAAAAAAAAAAAAAAACTCTCTTAATTTTTTACAAGCAAAAAACAGATATAATACTTAAAATTTTTTTAAATTATTTAAAAATATTTAAATAAATTTTTATTTTTTTATTATATTCAATCAATACTTTATATTTTTATTTTTAAATTAAATAATTTTTTATAATTAATCGTTGATTAATTATTAATAATTAAAATATCATATTTCATTTTTATACTACGTAATATTAACTTAATATAATGATATGACATGTTAATAAAATTTGATAGTATGATTATGTGATGTTTTTGACAATTCACTTCAACATAATATTATTGTTACTTGAATATAAAAAATAAAAAATAATATTTTAATGAAAAATAATTAATTAAGTATTATTCATAAAAACTTTTTTAATTCAAAATAAACCTACAATGAGTTTATTTAATTTTTTTTAAAAAATAAAATAATACAATTTGAATTGAAAATCATTTCACTCAAATATTCTCCACCCATTGTTTGTCAATGGAGGAAAGTCCAAGTGGGTTATAGAATATCTGATTTTAGCTCACCTTTTTGCTGGTGTCTTTTGATTATTTGCTCGAGACAAATTAGTGGTTTTGCTCTTTGGTCCAAACAAAAGCAGAACATCTTTTCTAGAAACATTTTATTTTATTAGCCACTTGCGTTGCTTAACAATGATGCCTGTTTCCTTTCCTTTTCCTTGTTTTTTTTTTCTTTTAGATATGGATGCAACAACCTTTAATATGAACTTTGTCCTAACCTTAAACACATGATCAGCTAATCTCTTCTTTCTTCTCTTGAAAATCCCTTGATTTTGTTTGCATCCAATTTTAATATACTGGGACCTCTTTCAACTGTGATTAATGTACAGCACTGTTCCATTACCCTGTGGTCCATATACAAATAGAGATTAGGGTTTTGATTGCTAAGTCTTATCAATGCCAGAACTAATTAAGCCTGATACTTAATATTATTAACATAATGTTAATTATAATCATGAGAATTGGTGTTGAGGATGATGAAAGAGCTATCATTTTCCTTTTTGTTACATCAAAAAAGTATATAACCTAATTCTCCTGCTATTTGCCTCCCTTTTTTTTTTTTGTTGTTGTTTTCTTCAAACATTTTACCCACTCCTGCTGAATTGAAAGTTGGGATTTCAATTTGGAAACTTATCAACAGTAATTAGCATTGGATATGGAGAATAATTTCACCCATTATATCAAGTAATTATTACCAATGATGATTTTAAATTAAGACAAGATGTTGGGCATTAATTAAGACATCTATCCCATTCTAGAACAGTATGTAAAACATATGCATTGAGCCAACAACCATCCAATCCCAACTTTTCCCCATTGAAACTAATAATGGAAGAGGCAAAAACTGAGCATTAGGCCCAGAGAAAAGTAATTAAAAGAAAAGAAAGAAAAAGAGGAGATAAGGGAGATCCCCAGTTGTAGAGTAAAAACTTTTACAACAGTAAAGCTGAAAAAAAAGGAGAAAGCAGTCTCTCCCAATGATCTATATAGCTGTAGACAAGCAAAAAAAGGGGTGTTGCAGAAATGATGATTTCCCATGAGAGTTAATTATTAACTGAGCAGCCCATGTGCTGCATATATGGGGGCAGAGCAATGATCTCTTGCTCTTCTTTTTTCACACTGTTGTGTTCAATCCAGGGGAGAGAAAAAGTTTGAATGGACATTTCCAGAGCTGCTCCCCATGACTCCATGCTCAAAACTCGAAACCAAACTTGCTTTTGCGAAGAAAAAAGACACCTTTTAAGGATTCTGATAATCGAAACTGTGGTGGGTCTTCAACTTGCGGATTTGGAATCCATTTTCTTTTTCTTGTCCTACACAGAACAGAAAATAGTTCCTTAAATCTTTTTCTCTTTATTGGTCCAAAGTTCCGCCTTCTATTCATTAGCATGTTTTGCAAAACAATTATTGCGGCCAGTTTTGCCAAACCTTTTTTGGACCCACTATAGTCCTAACTGGGTATTGAAGGCAAATTTGTCTTGTTCTTTTTGGACTTAAAATTGGTTAGTTGTGTCCGGATTCTTAGGCCCACTTGATGAAGATCAACAATTAATTAATTTTTTTATTTTGTGATAAAGTTTTTAAATTATTTTAAAATTTTTAATTTTTTTATTTTTCATTAAATTCAATTAATTTTTTTTATTTTAAATCAAATAAGTTTTTATGATTAATAATAAATTAATTATCATTAATTAAAATATTATCTATTATTTTATATTTAAATGATATTGATGTGACATGCTACACAAAATAATAAAAAATATTTTGATTAAATAAAAAAAATTATTTAATTTAAAATATAAATATAAAAATTTATTTAATTTAAAATAAAAATACGATTTTTTGATTGAATATAATAAAAAAAGATTATTTGAATGTTCTTAAATAATTTTAAATTTTTTTAAGATATTATATCTTATTTTATTTTATATGAAAATTTGTTATGTTTCAATTACACGATAAAATATAATTATATTTAATTTTTTGAATTTTTTTGTTTTTTCAAAATTTAGATTTTAAAAATTATTTTTTTTAAAAAAATAATTTTATGATAAAATGATATAAAAATAGACTCATTCATGTCAAAATCACCAAATTAAGTGAAAAAGAATTTTCAGAAAAAATGAACTGGATAGTTCAATTATAGTCGGCCAAGTAAGGGAGTTTTAAAAAACTCGTACACCTCTCGTAAAGGATTTGAGAAACTTAAAAAAAGTGAATACAAATGGCCACTCAAATCATCATTGCCTGTGCGGTATCGGGAGGCTCAACTTACATGACGAGCTTTCTTCACTAAGTACTGTTAAAGACAAAGGTCTAACGTCCAGTTCATGTTCATATTAATTAATTAATTACTTAATATTATGTCAAATAGCTTGGAACTCTCACTGATAACAGCTGATAAAATCTACTTAATGTTTTTGTCGAGTTTATCAAAAATTGTAGCAAAACTGAGATTCTTTCTCTACTTGATACATTGAAATACGTATTTTAACTCTTTCACATTTTGTTATGAAATTGATTTTAAGAGAGAATAGAAATATTCATTGAATTTAAGCCATTGGGTTACTTCATGAACCAATTTCAACATGTCAAGAAATCATTAAATAGAGCCCAAGTATAGGAGCCGACCTCAAAATTTGAGGGTTTAAACATTGCTAAAAGCGCTGATGCAGCATGAGAAACCATATACTCACTCTCATGGTGTGATTCAATTCACAACTATTAGTATTAGCCATAAGAGCAAAGAGGAAAACACTACTAGTATACTCCTTTAATAGTGAGACAGCTCAAACACACAGTTAATTAATAATTACCCATAAGAGATGTCAAAAAGGCCAAAACACCAATAATAATCATGATGTTTAGAAAATAGTTGGTTGGTAGAGGCTTATCCGGGCTTCCACCAAGCCCCTCATATTCTGCTCGAATCTTCTGCTTCATAGCTTCTGACAGCTCTCTCTGCAGCAATTCAAAACACTCAATTGAATTTTATTCTTTCCTCTTCATTTAGACTTCCATGTTTAACATGTGAGCTTGTATTATTATAAGACACGGCACAACAAAACAGGACCCTTGTTTTTTTTTTGGTTAATCCTGCAACAAAAGCATGAAAAGCAGACAAGATGAACAACTTGCACTTGTATAATTTTCTTCACAAAACCCCTCCATGCCAAAAATGCAATGAATTGTAGAAATCACTTTCTATAAAGAAAATAAGTTATTCATGGTTACAACCTTTCCAGTCGAGTACTTGGAAGCCACAAACTTTTCCGGTGCAGCTTGTGTGGGACCAGCATCTAACACAACACCCTGATCATCAAATTTTGCAGTCAATATTCAGGTCCTTAATAACGGAATTTTTTCTAGGTTTATGTAAAAGAAACATAAAAAACGTTGGATGTCTATGTCTATGCATCTATCTAATTCTGTACCTGTACCAGAAACCAAAACCAACAACCTGATGGAACTAAACTCAGGAACTAGTACTAGCCAAACCACAAGTTTACTGTCTTGAGTTATTAAGTACCAGAAACATTGGCAAATATAGAATAAATAAAAAATATCAGCATTTGCACAGCAAACACCCAACCTGAAATGAGATAAATTCTTCCTGGTGGAACTCAATATGCATGACAAAATTTAGCAGAGGTATGTTTAGCAAACAACTCTATGTAACCAGGATCTCCCCCAAATTTTGAAGAATAACACCGTTATCATAAAAGGAAAAGTGGGGTCGATAATAAGGACAGTAGCCTAGCACTTTTACTAGTTAAACTTTTCTTAATCATGAAAGTGATACAGATGCAACCATCCATCACAACCAAACCTCTGGAGGATCAAATTTGGCCCCAAGGTTGCTAAGTTTGGCATGGGCTTCTGCATAATCCTTGAAGAATGTCTCCTGATCTTCAGCATATTTCTCAGCATACACCTGCAAATTGTGTAAAATTTAGCCCAAACTGCGATCATGTCTTCTCACTGGCTTAAACTAAACTCCTTTTATTTACCTTGAAAGAGGGATCTTCAAAAAGGGCAGCATCAGTTGGCAGCACGAGCAGATCTTCATCCTTTTTCGTTTTGATGTCCTGAATTAATAAAAGAAAATCAGGCATTTTTCAATAACTTCCCAATGTATATGAGAAAGTGATTCGAATCTTAAACCTTGAAGTATGAATTGTCAAACTTCAACCATTGCACAGTCCAGGAATGTCCTCCTGGTGCTCCTGGCCCATCTTTCTGTCATTCAAGAAGGAAAATCCAATTTTAATCCTTAATTGCAGTTATTGGTACACCATTCATGTTCCACTTAAGGAAACATATCTTTCTAGCATAAAGACAACTATGTATACTAACACTGGCAAAATCAGCAACCACGAACAAGTTGCTTATCAAAATGCAACAAAACATGAAAAAAATAACACTTAACAATAAATTGTATTCAGGAGACAATCAATTTGCTTTATGGAAGATATTGACAAACAGAACTAGAGGTAACAATTTGCAGTTTCTAACAGTGCAACTCATGCTCACGTCTTAAGGCAATTCCGTAGAAGTGAAAAGGGAGAACCATACGAGGATATCCCCAAATTCATTTTGTTTGGAGCACTTTCAGCCACAAAATTTTTCATTCTTCTGAGGATTCAGTGTAATGATCAGCTTTGAAAGTAAGTTCAAGTTTCTTTTCTCCAAAGTCCATTTGTGGATGGGAAGCAAAAACTTCAAGTTAAAATTTTAAGGGTAATCTTAGAGGAAAGAACAGTCATGCTAGAACCATATGGTTTGGCATGAAACAGGACACCTTAAACTTAAAAGGAACAAAAGGTCGGTGTTCCTTCTCATAATTGCTTTTCTGATGAAAAAGTGCCCTCATGTAGTTGTTAACAATTACATGTCAGTGAAGTGTTTCTCACTGCCTAAATACCAAAAAGCCCATAGGAATAATAAAAAGAGATACAAGCATTAATAGGCTTCCCATTAAGAACATGAAGAGGCTGACAGACTGGGTAAGCAAATCTTAGTCAAGGTTCAGACTCAACAAAGTACTTGGAGGTAATGAGCTAAATAAAAGGCACTGTACATATTCAATGATAAGTATAACAGACTATAATGCTTAGCATTTGCACTAGAATCTCTAGCCTCTCAAGAATTGGAAATGACAAATAACCTACTTAAGTTACTCAGAAAAACAGATTTTCCCTATTCATAATCAAAACAGGGTTTTAAATACCGTATACTTAGTTTCCGGTCTGCCCCAACCACTACGCTCTGGTCTGGACCTCCCAAGTGTGTGTGCACCAGATAATGCAACTATTTCCTACATATCAAAAAGGCAGATGATTAGTATCAGCGTGGGCCATGATAAAGAAAATTACCAAGGATTTTTCGCAATAAAGTTTACTTTGTCATTCAATCCCATTCGGTAGAAAACCTCTCGTAGATGATCAGCAGGTGAAGGGGGTCCAGCATCTAAGCACAGAGAAATGCCATAAAAGTTAGTGGTCTCTAAACATAAGTAGAAGCCAACATACAAATACCTATGAGGGGTAAAAGATGCAAAACAAGCCCAAATTACTTGGACATGGCTAACAGATCTAAATGAACTAAAACTATGGAGCCTGCCAATATATGGCATCTAACGATCTACAGCTGATAATTAGCTACATACTCAGAACTTCAAAATATTGACAAAGATAAGAGCTTAAAAGATCATTACTTACAAAAGCCTGCAACATAAAACTCTATTCATAGTATTCTAGGTCCGGAAATGAACAACTGCCATATAATGGCAGCTAAAACATGCTTCAACCTGTTTATTTTTACAAACTTACCATTACTCTAACGAAAATCCTACAGATCCCAATATTCTGATTTACTCTATAACAATGCAACTTGAGGTATTTGCTCTATGTTATTGATTATAGAACATCTAGTGGTACCCTTTTTTTTGTTGAGGTAAAGATACATTATCTGTTATCCATGACACACTTCACAATAATGCTATGAGCTTCCCAGACATCCAGAATTAGATGGACTAAAACATGCCATGTTCAATTCATGGACTAACCATTCTAGAAACTTTAGTAACACTCCAGCTGATGAATCAGGTGCCTCAAGTTTCTACTTACATTTCTTGAGGCCTCAAGTTTCTACTTACATTACTTAATTTCGGAAATCAGATGCACAGTGATCTTCCCACAATTTACATCCACATGGACACATCATGTGCCAAAATAAGGTTCACTTACCAGGTAGCCTGCCCTCTTCAGGACACTCATTAGGACCAGAGACATCCACCCTACCATATTTCATAGGAATTTTGGGTCCCCCGGCCTCCTGAAATTTCAAGTCAATATTCAGTACTATAATTACATATCAATCAATGCAAAAATACTCATAAAAGACTAATAGGAAGGATGACCTCAATAGCAGTAGCACTAGCCAACTGGAACAAATCTGCATATGTTACACCAGAGTACTTGTCCTTGATAGGCTGAATAAGTTTCAACGCGTTCACAAGACCTGAACCGCAAGTTTATGAGACAACAGAGCTAACAAGTATGAACTAAGCTAATTAGTGTTATAAGTAAAATAGAAAATGTTACCAGCATTGGCTGCATGTTTCAGCTCAACTTCAAACCTAAGACTTCCATTCGTTCCTCCCCTTTGAGGCCATTCCTCAATGTTCTTGTTGTAGGTGCCAGCATCGTGCCATCCTAGACGAACCTGTTGGGCATAAAACAAATTACAGACACATGGAAGTAAACTCGTTGTTTTTCTCAAGTCTTGACAAACTATTTTCTCTTGTTTCTTAGGAAGGAAAATAAGAGGAATTGCGCCTTTCCTTTCCCGCAAACTCCAATCCTTCGATAAGAGAAGAAAACTAAATAGGAAACCATCATTTAACGAAAATTAAGCATTTTATTTACGATTTTAGCCTCAACTAAATCTAAGTTCAATCTACACTTTTTAATGCTGCATAAACAGATGAAGGTGATACTTCATTTCTTCAATATGAAATAAATTTCATTAAATCAAAGTGCTAAATCTAAGTTCAATCAACACTTTTTAAAGCTGCATAAACAGATAAAGGTGATACTTCATTTCTTCAATATGAAATAAATTTCATTAAATCAAATTCTTTCTTCAACGTAAGCCAGAATAATATTTTCTCCTAAAAATTGAAAGAGCATAACTACATTTATTCAACAAGAAAAAATGTGCAGCAACAGAGCGAAAAAGCATTTACAAACATATTATTTAGAAAGAGAAACAAAAAGGTTAAGTACCAGAATAGGATGGCAAAATTTAGATTTGAGAAGCTCCTTGATATCTTCCCTAGCACTCTTCAACTGATCAGGATCCGAAGCAGCGCATTTCGGACTTGCTACCGTGCTGAATCTTCCGCTGCTCGTCCCATTAACCGCCGATGTCCTCTACTTCAAAACAAAGAAAAAGCAAAGAAAGAAAGTTACAAACACTGAAAATAAATATATCAAAAGATAAAAAGGAAGGAAAGAAAAAGGAGAGGTGAGAGGGGGAACCTGGTGGCGAGAGAAAGGAGGACAGAGAGCGAGGGATTTAGAAGAGGAGAAAGAAATGAGAGAGGGAGAAGAAGAATAGGAGGAACGGAGACACAGTCGAGCTTTGGAGGAGGAAGCAGCAAAGATTCGAGAAGAGGCGGCGGTGCCTAGAGACGAAGCCATCGGCCGCTTCAGTGATGATGACTGAGATTGTGAAGGTGAAGGACTCGGAACTTTCACTATTTGTGTCAGCTGTGATAGCCGCTCTGCCATTTGGCTATCCCTCCCCAATTGTTTTGGATTAAGCTTTGGTTCTTTTGGCCCAACGCCAAACACACGCCTAGGAAAAGCTAAAACGCAGTTGGTTTTTGGGTTTCGCCAATCCGCTTCTTTCGGGATTTCGGCTCTATCCAATGTCTAGCAGCCACATCTATATTAAGCGTCGCCTGGCTTTGTATTTCCAAAGACTTAAGATATGCTTTTTTATTCATTCTGCTTCCTCTTTTGGACTTTGGAGGAGATCAAACCGACACGTGTAAGCGAGTCGCAATTGGTAGTAGCAAAATTGCATTTGACAAACAATTTGTCTTGTTATCCACGTTTCCGTGATTGGCAGGAAGGTTTATTCATTGTTTTATACATTACAATGAATTATTACCCTAACTAACGAGTTTATAGAATTATCACATATTCGTTAAATAATTATATCCATTTTTAATCTTCTTAATTATGAGTTAATCAGCATGTAACAATTTTATGGAATTGTAAGATTGTCATTAGTGTCAAAGAGTTCTTATTTCTTGACCATAATTCAGGAAGGAGCTATCATAAAATCTAAACTCATAGTAAATAGATAGAATTTATTTTAAATAAATTTGACTTCAATTGAAATTTATAGTTGTGATTAAATTGTATCGAAATTTTGCCATAACTTTTCATTAAATTAAATTCAAGATCTATGTTGTCAAAGAAGAAATCAAATTACTGCCCAAAAAAGGGAGACTTTGACGAACCATGATCTCCTTCCATGCGACCGAAAAGCCAGTAGGATTCATGTAATCCAATGAGAGATTTGATGGATGTTGGAAAGTCAAATAAAACAATTGTTTCCCTTGCTATAAGGAAAGGCCATGGGTCATGGAGTATCTATCTAGTTCACACTTCACAGTACCTGTTACGCTTTACATAGTTCGGATATAAATTGGGCTGATCCGTATCAACTAAGGCCACGTTTGGTCTTTTTAAGGATAAGACTGGCTCTCCTTCATTTAAAACTGGATTTTGTTAAGCCATATTTCTACTCTATCCAAGTAATCGATGAAGCCCACCGTTTTGGGTGTTTATGTGTTAAGTCAAGTTCTTGTGTCATGGGCCCAAACTTTGGATACAAAAATTTATATCGATTTTGAAATTTTTCATAAAAAGTCTCATATTAATAAAAAAAATTAAATAAACTTGAATATGACTTATCACGAATTCATATTTTAAATTAAAAAAATATATTTATTAAGTGAAAAAAATTATTAGTTATAAATTTCAGATCTATCTTTATTGTTTACTGATGTAAGATATATGACATGTGCATATAAAATAGAACTATAAAGAGAAAGGAAATACAAAAAAGAGATGATGGGCATTTCTTACATGTATGGCTAAATGAGTTTAGATATATGTACAGTATTATCACAACTGGTTTTCCCATGGACAAAGATCCAAGTTTAGCTTTAAATAAATGAAGAGATGAAATTTGTATTATAGGATTACGAGTAACATCATCCCCTAACTTTATAGAAATGAATAAATTAATAAATTCACTTGATAAGTTCGGAGAAAAATCATTTTCATGTTTGTCACCAATAGGGGAGGGGTCGGCAAGAAGTAACTCTAGAGGGGATAAGAAAAAGACTAAAAACGACACCGTTGACTCAGTGGCTGATTGCCTACCTCTGCCGTCACCTACTCACATTCTTTCACTTTCTATATATCCTTTAGTGCACCCGACGAAAATTTGATTTATTTGGTAAAAGGGGTGGGATTTTCTTTCTTTGTCAACAACTTGTTAAGAGCTGGTGATGACTTTATTTGACTTTTGACTTTCTCGACTTCACAACTAGAATGAAGCGGTGCTTGTGTTTCAATCTCGAAAATCATATGGCTTTGCCCTATGAGGTTGCTGCAACGTCCGGTACAATTTTCTCAATAACAATCGGTGAGAACTCAAAAGAGAAGTGTACAGTGAATTTATCTTCTCCTTTTCCTGATAAAAGAAAAGAAAAAGATTAAAGAGTTTGTTTATTGCGAATTAGCTCGATATTTATTAAGGGAGCGTTCAATGTATCACACTCCTTAATCTTAGCCCTTAAGTTGGTTCAATTTAGAGACGAAAAAAGTATCTCGGTATTGTACTTTTTCTTTCTGAAAAGTAGGTCTTTATTATTGTCAAGTTAGATTTCACATCATAAAGTCTTTTAATAAAAGAACTAAGAGACTTGAAAATGGCATTTTAGTTCTAGAAATTAATAAAAATCGCTTTTCAAAAACAATTAAAGAGGAAAAAATATTTTTTAAAAATGGTATTTTATATATATTTAGTAAAATATATTGATTTTTTAATTTGTGATTATAATTATATGTAAATTTATTAATTTTAAAAATAAATACTCCATTCCGAACGTGTAACCGTATTAATATCTAAATGTGAAATATTTAAATTATTTTTATTTTTTTGTCAATTTTTTCCCTTATCTCAAGTTGGTCAATGACACCATTACATTGGTCAACTACCCCAAGATCGAATCTAGTTGTGGAATTGGTTGGTCACCCCACGATCGAATCTAATAATGGTTAGATCTGACCAGATCTCTTCAAGGGAGCACAAGATCTGGCCATGCACCTCTTATCTCGAGCTCCCTAGGGAGCACTAGATGGGGAGTGTCTATCATTGTGCTTTCCCTTGAGAAGCACGAATATCATGAGGTGATTGGTTGAGAGTATTTTTTTAAAAAAAGAGAATTTTTTTTAAAAAATATAATTTATATAATAGTAATTTTTAAAATTAAAAAAAAAGATAAAATTATTTTAAAAATATTATCACATCATAAAAAAAATTAATAGTTGACTAATAGTAAGATTTATATGTCTAATTTTTTTTAAAATAAAGTGTCTATTTTAAAATTAGGTTCGTGTGTAATTATAACCAAAAATTAAAAAATCAATATATTTTACTCTTTTTTTTAAATAAGCTTTTACTATTATCAAAAGCCATAAACTTGTTCAATTTAGAGAAAAAAAACCTCCTTAAAATGGTATGGTACTTTTTCTTTTTTGAAAAGTAAGCTTTTATTATTTCCAAGAGCCATAAGTTAATATTAGCTTATTGGCTTACCAAATACAAAAGGAACATATAGGAATTATTAACAGCTGCTAAAAAATCTAGATTGAGAGATGTCTAGGTACATCGACATTGTACATACTCATATCCAGCACGCTACACTTTAGATGTAATAATTTATGTTTTCATATCTTAAACGTATCACACATGATTAGATACAGAAACACGTAAAGGTTAAATACGAACATGATATGAATAATATTCATATCTTAAATGTAAAATACATATATGTATATGTTTAATAACTATATAACACGATATAACATAATTAACATGTTTGTTAAATGCATCAATATATAATATGGCAAGATTAATAATACGTTTAACATGATTAAATAAAAATATTTATAATTAAATATAATTTTATTATTTAAATTTAAAATCAATAATTATGTCAAAATTAGGGTTTAGGCATAGCATAATTACATTATTATCTTTATAAAACTTTAAAAGCTTATTAAAATAATTGTTTAAAATTATTTAAGTCAGGCTTAAATAGTTTTTGACTTTTAATTTTTAAAAAGTTGATAAACATGTCACATAAACATGATTAAACACGTTTATATGTTTAAACATGATAACATAATTAATATGATTAATTAAATGTATTTTAAAAGTTAAATACAATTAAATATGAAACATATTAAAATTAAAATTAAATTTATTTAATTTTGTATCTTTACTTGTCATGTCCAAAATGATCAGATCTACTATCCTTGTTATCCAAACGTAAAGAACTATTTGTCTGAATCCCAACCTACATCCAGGGAAATGCTAAGGTTCAGCATCCACCCAATTTGAATAGAAGAATCCCATGCCATCCCGACTCTTTTACTTTTCACAATTAATGATCCGTTTGTGGAGTCCTCTTAGAATACGGCACAACAATCCAAATCCCACTCAATCTTTTACTTTAAATTAATTTTAGATTCAAATCAAGCAGGTCATAGGTATTATACTTAGTACTAATTATATATTATTTTCTTTGCCTAATATTAAAAAAAAATTTTAAACATAAATATTGAAAAAGGTTAAATGTAATGATGCGAAAATAGTTAATTTTAATTAAAGTAATTGAATGTGTCGTAATAATTAATTGAATCGATCAAAATGAAATCTTAACCTTTTAATAGATGAAACAAATTAGATCGATTAATTTGGTTAATAATCAAATTAATCAAATTTGTCATAATAATATTATATTATATTATAATAATATAATACGTTTTTATTTATAAATATATATGTTATTGTTGTATAAAGGTGTATGATATGAAATGTTTATATTATTATTATATATAATAATTTATAAATTATTTATATACAAACCAGTTATTGAATTAATTCAAAAATTTTATTGAATTTAGAAATTTAATCGTATTTATTTATAAATAACGGAATTAATTGAATTATTTTAATTTTTGATTAATTCAATTTTATTAGAACATAACTCACTTCTAACTAGTTAAAGTTCTGGTCTCTTTCTTTCCTTTCACTTTCGGTTCCCATTTGGTGGGCTTTTGTTTTATGTCTCGATGACACGTAAGATTCCATAGTCTTATCCTCTACATAAATGAAATCCAAAAAGTAAAAACGATAGTATTTTTTTTCTTTCTTTTTTGGGCTAAACTAGTACTATATAGTTTTTGTTTAAATATCTATTTAAGGCTTTTTTTTTAAATTATTAATTTAAGAGTTTATTCGGCTTAAATTTTTTAGCTTAAAAATTATTGTGAAGCTTTATTGTAAAATAATAACTTTTAAAATTAAATTAAAACTGTTTGATAAAATAAATTATATAAGTTTTAATTTTATTTAAAATTATTAAAAAAGATATTTATATCATCTTTGGTCACTTAATAAATTAAAACGAAACAAATCTATTTTGAATTTATATATGATTTCGGATATTAAAATTAAAAAAAATCTATAAAAAGATGAAAGAATTTTTAAACTTGTATAGTAATAATAGTATTTGATTTTTTGGTAAAGAAAAAAAAACTTTTAAATAGTACATGAATGTAATTTTAAATTTTAAAACTTTTTTGTTCTTAATATTTGTAAAAATAAA